CACACACACACACACACACACACACACACACACACACACACACACACACACACACACACACACACACACACACACACCCACCCGCGCACTCACACGCTCGCGCGCACAACGCACGCATAGTATCACATATTCAATGTTACACATAGCATTGTTACATGCACAATGACTCCAACGCATTTCCAGCTGTCTTGTGGTTGTTTGCTGTCTTTCCTATATGCCGGTGATTGGAGGGCGCCACTGGTAGGTCCTACTTTGATTGTTTCTTATTTTTTTCCGAGCACTCAATGGCCATTGTTGTGTCGTTATGCTTCTCTATACTCAAACAAACAAAATGCTCTCTGCTCTAGCCGTGCTGTAAGCTAACGCGAAAACAACAAACTTGAAACATGTAATAAATTGTTTTGTTTACAACTGAAGTTTTACTAGATTCTTGAGCGATTCTGATTTGAAGAGTAGAACCTAAACATGCTGTGAACTGACGTAAAAACAACTACGTCTCGCACGAGTGTTAGGACCTTATGCAGTAAACTAGTTGCGAGCGCCGTAAAACTCTTGTGAAACTGAAACTTGACTATTTTCTGCATTTTCACGAGGCCGTAGTCTGCTTTATCATTTTTTTGGAATCCCTTTTGTTCTGCTTTTGCTCTGCTTTCCTGGTATCTCTTCAATTCTACCTTTTCTCGAAGACTATCGCTGTGTTTATCATATTTTGGGAGCAACATTCTGTGCTTGCAGTTTTTTATATTTTATTTTGTTTTATTTTATTTTTATTTTTTTGGGTGCCGTCCTCAGCTCTTTCTGCACGCTTCTCTAGCCCAACTCGACGGGCATTTCCGTTTTCCTGGAGCTATACGCCGTAGATTCTGAGCTTGTTTTGGGAGTCGTTTTTGTTTTTTTCTACCGTGTAGAGTTTGGTCAGATCTGTACTCTGTACCGTGTGCTTCCCTGGAAGTTGACACTTTCAGAATGCTATCAAGTCTGCTGGGACAATAATTACGAGCGTATATGAAATACAGATTGTAAAGCACATACAGATTGCTGTTGAGCGGAACTTTATACACGAGCAAATGCTATTTGCTATTGTTACTATTATTATGATTATTACAGTATTATTGTTATTATTGTTATGTTTATTATTATGTTTGTTATTATTATTATTATTATTATTATTATTATTATGCATATCATCATG